ACCACTCAGTCTGACTCATTACCTGGGAAGTTCCTGAAGCATCTTATAAAACAGTCAGTTTGTAAGTACAAAGGGGAGGAAGAGCCAACACACATTTGTTAAGAACAAAGCAAGCCAAACCAACTTGATTCTTCCTTTGACAAGCTCACGGATTTAATACATCAGGGGAATGCAGTGGGCATAATATGACAGACTTACATGCCATTCTCATATGTAAGTGGGAACAACATCAGTTAAAACAGAATTACTAGGTGGGTGGAGAATATAACTGGCTGAACAACCTCAAGCAAAGAGTAAGTGTTAATGGATATACTCTGACTGGTAGGAGGTCTCAAATGATCCACAGGCCTCTGGTCTGAGTCCTGTACTGTTAAATCCTTTATTAATAGACACAGAAGCAGAGAGTGAGAGTATACAGATAACATTTACAGGTGACAAAGCTGGTAATGGTTGCAAACCCTTTGGAGGACAGAATTAAAATGAAAAGGGATCTTGATAAATTGGAGTGCTGGGCTATAGATCACAAAATTAAATTCAGAGGCAAGCCACAGAGATGCTGCCCTATGGAATACCTAAATGCACAATTATTGGCAACATGCTAAGAAAACTATCCAGCAGTAGCACTGCCAAGTAGGATCTGGAAGTTATGGGGGATCACAAACTCAGCATGCATCACCGGCATAGAAAACATTTGCCTACCCCCTTCACTTGCATTCAGCAGATCTCAGAGGTAGGAAGTAAACTTCTAGAGATATGGTTTGTGTATGGAATTTATATGAGGGAGTGGACGAAGAGCACACAAATTGATCTGCGATAACCGTTTCATTTGTCCACTGCTATCCCACAGTAAGTGCTGCTAAACTGCAATAACTTAGCCCTGCGTCACTCTGGGGGGTATGATGCCAGGTCACTTACATTTCCCATGCAATTGGAATAAACAGTTAAAGCTGAACAGTGGTAAATTGCTTTCCCTTAAGAGAAAGGAAACACAAATACACAAACTATTTGTCTAACCTTGCCCTTAAGCTGTTTTATTTGGAAGAAATAAAACTTAAACGCAAGAGGAAAGGCAAATGAAATCTTGTGGCTGCTCAGAGCTCTTTGATGTACTAGCCAGCAACCCTGACATCAGTCACAGGCAAAACAGAAATACTGACACAGGATTCTTTAAATCAATAGAGATCTAAAGGTTAGGAATAACCAATGCCAGTCAATACTGTTCTACAGAAAACAGGGCTCATCCAATAATATTACATTTTCCAATGAGTTTGGAAGTTTTATTAAGTAAGGCTGATTAAGTAATTGTACAGACAGACTTTTGTAAGGCATTTTTGACTTAGTATCACCTGACAATGTTGTTGAAAAATTACCATTATGCAAAAAATCAATGAAGAACACATACAATGTATTAAGAACTTACTACCTAAAAGTTTTCATATTAGTCATCAATGAAGAATCATCATTGAATGGGGGTGTTTCTGCAAGGGCACTGCTAAAAAATTCTTGGGATATTTACCATTAATGACCTTGGCACAAAGAAGAAGGGTATACTAATGAAATCTGCTGCCACCACAAAGATGTAAGGCATCATCAACACAGAAGAGCCAACAAAATAACATATAGAAAGCACTGGATGACATCAAGGATATGAGTAATAGAAATGAAATAAAATTTAATAGGATGCGATACAATATATCACTTAGGGAGCAATAAAAAAAATTTCCGCTATACACTAAGGGATCAGTTGACTCATACTCACAGGAGAGTATGAGCCATCAAAGTGAAGTGGCCGTGAAAAGGGCAATCCTAAATTTTATCAGGATAGGCATTTCCAGTACCAATAGAAAAATATTAATTCCCTTGTATGATGCAACGAGACCTCATTCAGAATACTGTGCAATATTCCAGTCACTGATATTCAAGAAGCACTAATTTAAACCGGAACTGGTACAGAGGGCTATTACAATAACCAAGAGAATAAAGGACCTTTTTGAAAAGGCAAAGGGGCTTAGCATACTTAGCCTACCAAAAGAATGGCTGAAACTGGACTCTGCTGTTCTCTGTAAAACAATGAGGGGTGAGCTATTATTTAAAATGGAACATGCTGCTGGCACAAGATCAGATAAGTATAAACTGGCCATGAATAAACTGAAGGAATCTGAAGACTGTCTAACCATCTGAGCAGCAATAGTACAGAACAGCCTTCCTGCCTGCAGAGGACAACAGCAGTGTAACTAATAGAAGAGGATGCTTGATACGTTTATGCGAGTGATTATATGCCTAAAGCACAAGGGAAAAGACTCTGGCCTAGGAGGTTCCTTCCAGTCCTACATTCCTACTGATTTGACACTAAGCTAGACTGCTACTACTGAACACTTTCATCAGTGATCTGGAAGTAAGTAAAATCACTGTTGATGAAAACTTACGGATGACAGAGTGGTTTGGCAAAGAACAGCGAATAACGGGAGGGTAGTCGCGCAATCAGGATCACTTGGAAGTGCTCAAGCAAACAGCATTCAGCAGAAGCAAATAGAAAGTTATACATCTAGGAACAGTGATGCAGTCACACCTCCAGAATCGGGTATTGTGTCCTGGAAAAAAAAAAAGGAAGGAACTGCAAAAAGGATCTAGGGGTCACAGCAGCAAGCAGCTGAATATGAGCTCCCAGTACAATGCTGTGGCAGAAAAGGCTAATGTGATGTTTGGTAAGCCGACTGGCAATTTACTTCTGTAAATGCTATCAGGGAAAATCAATACCAGAAAACTGGAAGACACAGGGAATAATAGTGAAGATGGTGCACACAACTGCCAGAAAAATTATTTGAAGGCTGAAGAAAATGTCTTGCGGCAAGAAACTGGAAGAGGTCACTCACCTTTCCTCATCAAAAAGGCAACTGAGGAGAAAATTTGTCTGTATACATCTCCACATGAAAAAAAAATTACCGGATAACATAAAGCCTTTTAATTTAGCACAAAATGGCACAGCAAGAATCAGTGGCTGGAAGCTTGGCTAGAAGCCGATACCAAAAATTCAAATCAGAAACGAGCACTTTACTTTGCTTTTACAATGAAGGTAATAAATCACTGGAGTGAGCTAGCAAAGATCCAGAGACTAGACTGCTTCCCTGAAGATAAGCGTCTGTAAAACACATTGCTAGCTCAGTGCAGGAAAGCCAAGTAAAATATAATGCCCATGATATAGAGGAGGTCAGACTACAGGATCTAATATTCCCTTTGGACGTTACGAGTGAAATACTGTTACAGAAGGAACATTCATACACAGGATGCATTTAGGATTGCCTCTAGAAGAGGAGTCCTATGTGGCTGAAGTCTCCTGAACTACAAGAAGTTGTCGCTGCAGCGTCATGATTCCAGCATGGCGAAACCAAGAGCCGATAAAAATGTTCTCAAAACTCTGCTTTTGTTCCCTGTTGAAAGAGGCATAACAGTCATATCTTGCCTACAGTGCACCCCTAGCAAGAGCTGAGATTAATTAAAACACAGCTTTCTTAACCATCCAGTCTATCTTCCTCAATGCCCCAAAGCATTCAGTCCCCACAAAATCATGCATCAAGGGAAAAGTAAAGTAATATAGTTTTGAGGCTGCTGACAATTCATTGCGTCAGCACTAAGGGGGAAGGGCCTGAATCTGCAAGACTCATTTAAGCATAACATTGTGTTGAGACAACCTCTCAGTATGTACATGAGATTTTCCTCAGTGACCACCTGCAGGCCACTCTCCCTTTAGAGGTAATGTGGAAACCTATTTATATGATTCAGAAACTAAATTAAGAATATGTTTGCACCTTTCCTTCCCCAGAAGAGTCATTATTTAAATCTGATCTCTTAATAAGTTGCACACTGTATTTTCTCACCTAAAACACTTTCTTTCCAAAAACCAGGTACTGGAAATCGGGGCAAGCATTACAAATGAGGACACATAGTAAACACAGTTTCTGCTGCTTAAGCTTCTTCCAGGCAAAAACAAAAGTAACTCTACACATTATCAATAGAAAGCAGAACACTAAGCAGGTTTGACCCCCAGCTGCTGCTGCTACTCAGTTTTTTTCACTTCATTCTGCCTTTCAAAAAACCAGTATGTGTGTACCTTATTCTCAGACGTGTTGTATACAAGATAATATGGTATTTTATTTTATATTTTTTTTAAAAGTCATTGCTGCTATCAACTCATCTGTAGATACAACAAAAGGTTTGGGGTTTCTCACCATAAAGAACACACTAAACTCTGAAGCAAGGAATGTTTGATTGATACAATCTCTATTTCTACACAGTCGGATATGTTTTATGGCAAACGTTTTCCACCTTGAGCACCCACTAATGGATCATTCAGCCTGTGATTAAGCACATTACCAGTGGCCTTGTTTTCTATCAGCAGAGGTTGTGGGTGCTCAGCACCACTGAAACTGAAGACATTTTTAGCATGTGTCTAAGTATTTTTGGATTTTTATTTTTAAACATACGTTAGAAAATGCTGTCCTGAATTTTTGTCTTCAATACGTGATTTTTTACACCACTGGAAGGATTTATCTAAAAAATAAGTGCTAAGGACTTTAAAGCTGCTCACCTGACAGCCTCAGCTACATTGTTGGAAGTGTGCCCTGATAAAGCATCATGCAGATTTCGGATGAAGTAATCTCTATAGTCTTCAGGAAGGGCCATGAATGTTCCTCCCATCACAATGAATTCCACTTTATCCACACTGTGGCCCAGCTGCTTCAGCTGGAAAAAAATAAATGAATAAATACAATTTAGCAACAAGTAACTTGCTGGTTAGAGATTCACAAAAAAAGTTTCAACTCCAAGATAAAGTGTATAATTAATTCCTCTTCAATACCAAGTTTTCATGTTTTCCAGCTATAATGCCAAATCAATAATACATCATAAGCAACAGTTTTCCTATAATTTACCATGATATAAAAATGATCCTTCTATGGAAAGAATATATGAAGGGCAATCTAAAAAGAAGAGGCGGCAGAGAAAGGTCTCCAAAGAGACAGATCATCATAAATTGCAGAACTATCCCATAAGGGGGACTCAAATAAGAAGAGTGTGGAGAACAGGGCTACTCAAATTTACAGAGTTTTGCTTATTTTGGAGATAAGTAGCAAATCAGTCTAAGATAAAAAGGATGAAGAATGATAAAGCTTCACTTCCCATCCACAATTCTTTTTAATATTCTAATTGATTCCGGAAAACTGATTTCAATAGAAAAGAAAGTCAGTAATAATCCATACTAAAATTAAAAAAAGGAGACAATGTCTATAACATGAGAATTACAAACTTAAATCAGCAATTGCACAACTATGTTTCTACTGACTTCTCCTAGCAGTTAGATGATATTCAGCAGAGATGCCATCTTAAATGATGCTTGGAACTGGTGCTTTTGACTAATGTAAATCAAAGTTTAAAATTGATCATACTCTGGGTTTAAATTTCATAATTTCATAGTTAGTAGGGTCGGAAAGGACCTGAACAGATCCATCAAGTCTGACCCCCTGCCATGGCAGGAAAGAGTACTGGGGTCAAATGACCCCAGCAAGATGTTCGTCCAGCTTTGTCTTAAAGACCCCCAGAGTAGGAGCCAGCACCACTTCTCCTGGAAGTTGGTTCCAGATCCTAGCCGCCCTGACTTTGAAGTCGCGCCTCCTAATGTCTAGGCTGAATCTCCCCTCTGCCAGCTTGTGACCGTTATTTCTAGTCACTCCTGGTACTGCTCAGGGAAACAGGGACTTCCCCAGTGCCTGCTGATCCCCCCCAACTAGTTTGTAACAGGCCACTCGATCCCCCCTTAGCCTTCTCTTGTGGAGGCTGAACAGGTTCAGGTCCCATCGCCTCTCATCGTAGGGCCTGCCCTGCTGCCCACCGATCATGCGAGTGGCTCCTCTAGACCCTCTTCATGTTGTCCACATCCCTCCTGAAGTGCGGCACCCAGACCTGGACGCAGTACTCCAGCTGTGGCCTGACCAGTGCCACATAGAGGGGGAGGATCACCTCCCTGGACCTGCTCGAGATGCATCTGTGGATGCATGACAAGGTGCGGCTGGCCTTCCTGACTGCATCCCCACATTGCCGGCCCATGTTCATCTTGGCATCAATGACGACTCCAAGATCCTTTTCTGCCTCTGCACTGACGAGAAGGGAGTTCCCCAGCCTGTAGGTATGGTGCTACCTGTCCCAAGGGTATGGTTCCTCCCCAAGTGCAGCACCTTGCACTTGTCAGTGTTGAATCCCATCCTATTCTCATCCGCCCACCCCTGTAACCTGTCCAGGTCTGATTGCAGCCTATTCCTCCCTTCTACCGTGCCCACATCCCCCCACATCTTAGTGTCATCAGCAAATTTGAACAGG